GATGGAAGAGACACAGTGGTCTAACTAGACTCTACAGCCCAGGCTGTCCTAGAGACTGTGCGCTGTGAAGACACTTTATTATACACAGATATGGAAGAAAGGCATTCGAAGTACAAGTCCAGGACCTGGGAGATAGCTCGGTGCTTAAAATGCTTGTCACAAAAGTGTGAAGATCAGATTTCAGATCTCCAGAACCATGTAGAAGCAGAGCAGCCATGTAATCACAAGAGAGAATCTCCAGGGCAAACTGGCTTGCTAGATTAGCAGGCATTGGTCAGCTTTGGGGCCAGGGAAAGAACCTACTTCAAAAATAAGGTGGAGATGAATTGAGAAAGACTCCAAAAGATTCCAGAAATCAACTTCAGGCCTTAGCATGCATACACACACGTGTGCACACCTGTACACATATACACCTTCACATATATAAAATACATGTTTGCCGCGCCTGCTGTGCAGCCTGTGTCCAAGAATGTGCGGAGGGTGTCAGGGATTGACAACACAGAGACTCGTTCAACGGTGTAAAGAAAACTTTAAGCAGGCCCCAAAAAGGCTCAAGAAAACTTCCCAAGAAAGGCCTCCCTCCAGAAAAGCTTCTGCTCTCTCTCTACCCCTGGCTGGTTCTGCTCTGACACCAGAAACTGATTTGGGTATGTCAGAAGAGGCGGTTAGTCTTTGGACAAGGTCAAGGTCAGGGTGGTTCCCGTGGGCCAGCCCTTTTCAGGAACTTATTGCCCCGGGCATTGTATTGTTTTTAGTAAACATTGTCTTACAGCTGCCTTCTCCCAGGCTGATGGGGAAGTGGGTCTCTGCTCCAGGCCTGGTGTCCCCACACATGTTTGAATATATACTCACATCACACATACACATACACATGACTAATAATGATAATAACAAAAACAGCAATAATAATAATGTGCAGATGTGAGACAGGAGGAGTCTGATATGTTTAACAAAAAGAAATACAAGTGCGGGGCACTGGTGGCGCACACCTTTAATCCCAGCACTTGGGAGGCAGAGGCAGGCGTGAGTTGGAGGCCAGCCTGGTCTACAGAGCAAGTTCAGGAGAGTCTCCAAAGCTACACAGAGAAAACCGTGTCTCAGAAGAAAGAAAGAAAGAAAGAAAGAAAGAAAGAAAGAAAGAAAGAAAGAAAGAAAGAAAGAAAGAAAGAAAGAAAGAAAGAAAAGAAAAGAAAAGCAGCTAAAGCACTTCAGCTGGATGAGGAGGGAAAGCAGACAAAGATGAAGGGAGATGACACCGTACCACAACCTGTCACGCTCTGTGATCTGGAAAAGGGGTGAGGTTTATCACAGAAGAAGTTTTGAGGTGGAGCTGGAGATGTGGTCCAACTGGCAGAGCGCTGGCTTACCATGTGTCAGGCCCTGGATTCTGTCCCCAGTACCAGATAAACCCCGTACGTGGTAGTGCCTGCATGGAATCCCAGCACTCAGAAGGTGGAGGCAGGAGGATCAGTTCAGGATTACTCTTGGCTATTAATAAACTCTAGGCCAACCTAGATTACATAAGATGATCTAAAAACAATTAACTGAAAGGACTTTTGAAGAGAGGAGCCATGTAATTTGATTTTCATTGTATTTATTTGTTGCAGTGATGGGAGCAAAACCAAGGCTTTGGCAGTGTTAGGCAGGTGCCCCCTACCCCCTCCCACCCCCACCTCCCCCCACCCTGAGCTACACCTCTGGCCTTTCATTGCCTTGTGCGAAGAATCACTCTGACTGTGGGGAAAGGACCAGGAGGGAGGGGAGAGAAGCACTCTGGGGATTTGGTTGGTAGAGAACAGACCGCATGTGGTTCACAGAAGGGAAAACAGCTTTGGGAAGAAGAGTCAGCTGGGAAATTCTGCAACTGTTGAGCCAGCACAGCAGCATCCAGGAACAGGGCCAGCAGATACGGGCACTTGACACCAAGCTCGGCAGCCTTAGCTTCACTCCTGAGCTGCACACAGTGGAAGGAGGGAACTGACTCCTGAAAGCTGTCCTCTGACCTCCAAGCATGCGTAGTGGCATGCCCACACCCCCTCCGCAACACACACACAGCATATAAATAAAAAATAAATTTAATTTTTAAATCCAAGAATATAAAAAAAAAAAGCTCTAGGGCAGTGGTTCTCAACCTGTGGGTCTCGATACCTTTGACAGTCACATATCAGATATTTATATTATGATCCATAACAATAGCAAAACTACAGTTATAAAGTAGTAATAAAAATAATTTGGGGGGTCACCAAAACATGCGAAGCAGCATTAGGAAGGTTGAGAACTACAGTTACAGAGAGTTTGTTTTTTGCATGATAACTCTCTTTAGCCTCTCAAATATATTGAGACTTAATTTGAGGTCTGATATGTGGGCTATTCTGGAAAGGTCTCATGCCTTGAGAAGAATGAACAGTTGCTGTTGTGGGGCAGAATGCTCCGTATTATTATGGTTGATCTCAGTTGTCTACTTGTTTAGGTTGAGCTATGCACAGGAGATTGGTGAAGCAGGCTTCCGGGTACATATATGAGAGTGATCCCAAAGAGGACTAACTACAGGGAAACAGTTGCCTGGAATAAATATATGTAGCACCATCTAAACAATTGAAGGACCAAGACAGGATAGAGGACAGATGAGAAGGAAGCCAGAAGGACATCCCTCTCCATCGCACAGTGACAGGGTAGCCTCTGCCATATGCTCCTAGCACTATAAGGTTTCTTCCTCTCCATGGACAAATTCTTTCCAAGGCATCTATGTGGTTCAGGACTTGGAAAACTGAAGCAGAGGGCTGTAGTTAGAGGCCAGCCTGGGCTATATGGTAAGAATCTATCTGAAGATAAATAAGCCATCCCGAGCCACATAGAGAGGTAGTTCCAATCTAGGCTAAGGCACAGAGTGAGATCCAGCCTCACAGGAAGAGGAAAAAGTAAGCAAAAAGAAGCTTCTATTTTGATGGTTGTGGGCTCTGTCTGTCACTACCAAGAATGAGCCTGAGGTAGTCACTTAATGTTGTCTTGGGTCTTTTCTGAGCTTGGTCCCTGGTCTACTTTCATCAAGGCCTGGCTCCCAAAGGAAGAAAAAAATACATTAAGGGGCTGAATAAAAGGTATTAGCACGCGGGGGCGTTGGTGGCGCACGCCTTTAATCCCAGCACTCGGGAGGCAGAGGCAGGCGAATCTCTGTGAGTTCGAGGCCGGGCTGGACGGATAGCCTCCAAAACAATACAGAGAAACCCTGTCTCGTAAAAACAAACAAACAAAAAAATAATTATGAAATCTCAGTCTATAGTTTAGGCTTCTTCCTTCCTTCCTTCCTTCCTTTTTTTCCGAGGCAGGGTTTCTCTGTGGCATTGGAGGCTGCCCTGGAACTAGCTATTGTAGACCAGACTGTTCTCAAACTCATAGAAATCCGCCTGCCTCTGCCTCCCGAGTGCTGGGATTAAAGGCGTGCGCCACCACGGCCGGGCTGAGATTTCATAATTATTAATAAGTCTCTGTGTTGTTATTTGGGAGCTGGTGGCTGATGGAACAAAAAAAAAAATCTGCCTACAGTAGTCCCATCAGACAGATTTTGCCAGCATAATTGTTGTTGACATAGGTAACAGATTTCTGATGCCTCTACTCTGCTATATTCCTAGAACATGGGGGTCCCTGCAAGTGTCACGGTTAGAAGGGGAATAATTCATGTGAGGTAAGACAGAAACTCATTCAGCATGACTTAATTATCTGGTGCTGGTTCAAACTCTTGGAGTCTAACATTAGGCCAGTTTATTTTAGACATGTTTAAGTCCAATTATCCCAGTCCCATGTGCTTGATAAGGCTTAAGTCATGACTATGTTGAAACTCTTTTGCAAAGTACATGTGACCTCCACCATGAAGTTAGGTTCTATAGCTTAAGGGCCTAGGATCTGGTATGGTCTCTGATAAAATAGCATAGAGGTCAGCAGGCTATAACATCCTTGTGACATATCCCCTAAGGGTGGGTTCTCTTGACTGAGAAACAAGGCTAAAGATAAAGGTCTGGGGAGGGAAAGTCTGGAATGACCATTCCAGGGCCTTTGGGTGAGGTCTGGTCCTACAGATAGATAGCAAAGGTCACCAGGTTATTAACAGCATCCATTCCCAGCCTTCTGGGTGGAAGAACCAGTATTCATTTCCTCCATTGAGAAGACAGCAATAAGTAATTAACATCCCCGGGCTCCCCAGTGCTGGTGTGTGAGCACTATGCATTCTACACCAGAATTCTCTTGTCGGATACTACCTACCTCTTCTGTTCCCAAGTCTCCCATCAACCCTACAGAGAATCTCACCACTCCAAAATAAAGATATGCTATTGAATCATTTTCCTCAAGTTAATTTTGTCCCGGAAAATACATTCTGCTACCACTTATAAAGATAATTTTCTGCACCTTTCTACATTCCTAAGACTTCATATTTATCTAGTCACAGACCATTGTCAATCCCACTGTCGCTAGGCTTATTAAAGGTCTATTGTGATTTGAATTCAAGATGTCCCCCAAGGTCTTGTGTGTTCAGAGTCTGGTTGGAGATGGCGGGCTTTTGGGAAATGACTGGGTCCCGAAAACATCCATGATGGATTAATTGTATTGGGAGGCAGGGCTAGGAGCACCAAGTCATTAGAACCATGTCCTGGAAGATATATCTTTTTTTTCCCAGTTTGTCTGATGATGATGTTTTCCATGTCATCCAAGCATATCACTGAAATTTGATAAGCAAGAAGACTAGAGAGATGTTCTCATAATGCTGGGGAAGAAAATGGAATTCTGACTTAGTATTAAAAACTTTTTTTTGGTTTTTCGAGGCAGGGTTTCTCTGTATTGTTTTGGAGGCTGTCCTGGAACTCACTCTGTATGCCAGGCTGGCCTCGAACTCACAAAGATCCACTTGCCTCTGCCTCCCGAGTGCTAGGATTAAAGGTGTGCACCACCACTGCCCTGCAGTATAAAAAAAATTTAAGCAAATTTTTATCACTATGCCTTTGATCAAAAAAAATATGGAACGTTTCACCAATTTGCGTGTCATCCTTGGGCAGGGGTCCTGTTAATCTTCTCTGTATCATTCCAATTTAAGTATATGTTCTTCTGAAGTGAGTGTGATGTGCGTTTTTAATCTCAACACTCTGGAGGTAGAGGCTGGTGGATCTTTGAATTCAAGGTCAGTTTGGTTTAAAGAGTGAGTTCCAGGACAGCCAGAGCTACGGAGACACTGTCCCAGAAAAAAGAAAGAAAGGGGGAGGAGGGAGGAAAGAGAGCCAGCTCCACAAAGTTGTCCTCTGACCTCTACATGTGCACCATGGTGTGCTTGACCTGCAAACACAAATGCAAACACATCACACACACGTATACACACATGTACACATGTTCCTATACACATGTGCATGCACACGTACATGCACTCAGTGAAGACAAGTATTTTAAAGAAAGGCAGTTAAATAACTTCATTTTGACTGCATAAAAATATACATAAATGAAATCACCTAACCACTTAGTAAACTATGAGAGCATCAAACAAAAAATGTAGCAACAATTCATTCTCTCTAAGTCCTCCAAAGGTTACTCCATATTCCAGTGACCTTGGACCTTTTGGCTCTGTTTCCTTTTTTCCATCTTCCGGAGACTGGCTTGGAGCAGCATTAGCAGGAAATAACAAGCTACAGATTGTTTATTTCACACCTCATGGTACCCCCAATGAGAACGACAGCTTGTAATAACTAAACAAATTAAATTACTGGAAGGTCAGCTTATGATGAGGCCACACTAGCTAGATAATTAACAGATACGGGTCGTCTGCCTGTCTGCCAAGAATACACTTAATAATGAGATAAGTAACACTTATTAGCATCTACTATGTCTTATGGTTTCAAATAGATGCTCTCCTTTAACCCTTACAGCCAGGCCACAAGGTGAGTCTAAATAAACATCTTCATTTTGTAGTTTGGAACATTAGGTGGCAGGAAGATAATAATTGTCTCTCCCCTGTCCCTGCAATTAAGCAGCTGGAAAGTCAGGCAGAGTGGTACTCATCTATAACTCCAGCATGTGGGGCAAGAGGAAGAAAGATCGTGAATGAAGGCCAGCCTGAGCTACATAGCCAAGACAGAGATTGGGGTCTGGCAAGATGGCTCAGCGCATGAAGGCTCCTGCTACCAAGCTTGATAAGCTGTGCTCAAGCCCGGAACCACATGACAGATGGAGGAACCACCTCCTCCAAGTTGTTCTCTGACCTCCACGTGCACACCAGGTCACACATCTGCCCGCCAACCAAGGAATAAATGAATGTGATTTAAAAATTGCTCAATGATCAAGGTCTGCCTTGATGATGAGACAACTCAAAGTAAATAAATAATAACTAAGAAGTGACAAAACCTTATATAAACTCAGTATTTTTCTGACTGAAAAGCCTGTATGTCTTTTTTTTTCTTTTTGGTAAAATGTTATTTGTGTGTAGTGCTAGGAAGGGTCTTGTGAATGCTAGGCAGATATTCTACCATTGAGCAACACTCCCATCCTTTGTATGCTGTGAATACTGTGACATTTTGTCAAATGGGGATGCTGTTAATTTTAATAGACGCATTCACAGTTAGTATTTCATCTGAAATTAGGAAACAGGGCAACTTCCTTGGTGATACCATGTCTCCACTGAGCACACACAAACCAAGTTGCATTTGACTTACTTACAAATTTGTAATTCTAGTTTTAAGAAATTTAAATTCTTTCAAGAAAATATTTCAAATGTTTTTCAAGTAGTAATCTTATTTGTATTTGAGATGAGCCTTACATATGTCCTGAAGTATTTACTGAATCTTGGCAGGGGTTTATTTCGCCCAATAGATAAAACAAAATATACACAAATGTTTTTGGAAGGTTGTTTATTTATTTAATTTATTTATTTATTGTTTTTCTAGACAGGGTTTCTCTTACAGAGATCCGCCTGCCTCTGCCTCCCGAGTGCTGAAAAATTCCTTTCTTTTTTTTTTTTTTTTTTTTTTGGTTTTTCGAGACAGGGTTTCTTTGTGGCTTTGGAGGCTGTTCTGGAACTTGCTTGGTAGTCCAGGCTGGTCTCGAACTCACAGAGATTCGCCTGCCTCTGCCTCCCGAGTGCTGGGATTAAAGGCGTGCGCCACCAACGCCTGGCTGAAAAATTCCTTTCTTATAGTTATTGTCATAACATATGTTTATTGGCGTGGGGAATCAGGATTCACTAGACTCAGTATAGAATGAAGTGGAGTTTATTTGGGGAAAAGGAACTTACACAGGAAGCAAGTGACTGTCGCATCACTCCAACTCCAAGGACGCAGACCTTGCTAACTTGATGCTCTCTGTGACCTGAAGGGGCTCCGAGCCCCAATCCTATTCCTTTTAACCAGTCATATCTGCACCTGTGACCACACCCCAAAAGTGTGGTCAGTGCTACAGGTGTGGGGGTGGGGAGGGGTGTGAATATATCACTACAATTCCCCTTTTAGTCTAAAGAAGATTTAGGCTTGATGCAAAACTATACACAATGATAGCAAAGATCAAGTATGCTCTAGGAGAAGGAGAGGTAAAAAACATACACAATTTAAGACCTACTGCCAGTGAAGCAACATAGAGCAATTGGCATGAATTACATGTCCAGTTCTAGGGTAAAGGCATAATAGAGACTTCTATGAAGTTGTCCTAAGCTGGAAAGTTTAAATCTCGTAGCTTATATTTCGATCTAAGAAGAGAGGACAACAGCTGTGACAGACTAATCTTCAACCTCATCAAAGACCTGAGAAAGAAGGTAACATTACTACGGTAGGCAGGAAGTGCAAACGAGTGAATTCCAAAGGTGCAGTGAACACATAAACAGCAGGCTACCTGGACAGTCACCCAAAGTCTCACAGCAGCATAGGGGCAACCAGCTTTGGCTAAGGCACAGAGTAACTGACTGACCAACACAGAAGCAGGGAGGTTCAAACACTGATTTGGCAGGGTTCAGCAGTCTCTAAGTATATCTCCTACAAGCACAGTAGGACAGCAAGTCCAAAGTCAGCGGTCGAGGTAGGGGCAGTTCGGGAACTGACTCCAGAAGGAGTGTCATCGGGGCCCAACATATTCTTGGGAAATACTCCACACTGTCAGGAGCAATGGTGTCTCATGTGAACAGAGTACTAATACTAAAACATTTAAATGCCATAATCTGCAGGTCTTTCGTGTATTTGAAGATCAAATATCTATGTCTGACTAATCTCATAGATATAAGAAACATGGGTAACTATAATTTGCTTTTTTTTTTTTTTTTTTTTTTTGGTTTTTCAAGACAGGATTTCTCTGTATTGTTTTGGAGGCTATCCTGGAACTAGCTCTGTAGACCAGGCTGGCCTCGAACTCACAGAGATCCACCTGTCTCTGCCTCCCGAGTGCTGGGATTAAAGGCGTGCGCCACCTATTGAGTATTTTTTGCATCGATGTTTATGAGGGAAAATTGGTCTATAGCTCTCTTTCTTTCCTTCTTTTTTTTTTTTTTTTTTTTTTTTTTTGGTTTTTCGAGACAGGGTTTCTCTGTGGCTTTGGAGGCTGTCCTGGAACTCCCTTGGTAGTCCAGGCTGGTCTCGAACTTACAGAGATCCGCCTGCCTCTGCCTCCCGAGTGCTGGGATTAAAGGCATGCGCCACCAATGCCCGGCTTATAGCTCTCTTTCTTAGTTGTGTCTTTGTGTGGCTTAGGTACCAAGGTAATTGTAGCCTTGTAAAAAGAGTTTGGCAGTGAGCCTCCTGCTTCTATTATGTGGAATACTTTGAGGAGTATTGGAATTAGCTCTTCTTTGAATTTCTGGTAGAATTCTGCACTGAAGCCATCTGGGCCTGGACTTTTTTTGGTTGGGAGACTTTTGATGACTGCTTCTATTTCATTAAGGGTTATAAGTCTGTTTAGATTGTTTATCTGTTCTTGATTTAGTTTTGGCAAGTGATATCTATCCAGGAAATTGTCCATTTCCTTTAAATTTTCTAATTTTGTGGAGTACAGATTTTCGAAGTATGCCCTGATGATTCTCTGGATTTCCTCAGTATCTGTTGTTATGTTCCCATTTTCATTTCTGATTTTGTTAATTAGCATGCTCGAACCAACTCTTTGTTTCATTGATTCTTCGCAATGTTTTCCTGGTTTCTACTTGATTGATTTCATTCCTCAATTTGATTATTTCCTGGCATCTGCTTCTCCTGGGTGAGTTTACTTCTTTTTGTTCTAGAGCATTCAGCTGTGCTATCAATTCTCTAGTGTGACTGTTCTCCAGTTTCTTCATGTGGGCACTTAGTGCTATGAACTTTCCTCTCAGCACTGCTTTCAGAGTGTCCCATAAGTTTAGGTATGTTGTGTCTTCATTCTCATTGAATTCCAGGAAGTCTTTAATTTCTTTTTTTATTTCTTCCTTTACCCAGGGATGATACAATTGTACATTGTTCAGTTTCCATGAGTTTGTAGGGTTTCTGCGATTTGTGTTATTGTTGAATTCTAATTTTAATGCATGGTGGTCTGATAAGATACAGGGGGTTATTCCAATTTTTTTGTATCTGTGGAGATTTGCTATGTTTCCTATTATGTGGTCAATTTTAGAGAAGGTTCCATGTGGCGCTGAGAAGAAGGTATATCCTTTGTGTTTGAGTGGAATGTTCTATAGATGTCTGTTAAACCCAGTTGGGTCATAACTTCTATTAGTTCTTTTGTTTCTTTGTTAAGTTTCTGTCTGGAGGTCCTGTCTAGCGGTAAAAGCAGAGTGTTGAAATCTCCTACAACTAGCGTGTGAGATTTTATGTGTGATTTGCACTTTAGTGGGTGCCTTTGTATATGAGGCATAGATGTTCAAAATTAAGACTTCATCTTGATGGAGTTTTCCTTTGATGAATATGAAATGTCCTTATTCATCTCTTTTGACTGATTTTAATTTGAAGTCTAGTTTGTTAGACATTAGGATGGCTACACCCGCTTGTTTCTTGGGTCTGTTTGATTGGAAAATCTTTTCCGAACCCTTTACTCTGAGGTAACATCTGTCTTTGACATCGAGACGTGTTTCATGTATGCAGCAGAGGGATGGATTCTGTCTTCATATTCATTCTGCTAGTCTGTGTCT